CCGTAACATGACTCTGTGAACTCCAACGTTGAATAGTGATTGTGTATGTAATGCAATTCTCGAGTGAGAAAACTTTATTCTAATTTATTGAGGGAGAGAGATAGTCACTATCAGGAAGGGATCTGTTCACGTAGGTGTGCGTTGGGATTTGTCATCGCGATATTGCGATTTTATTGAGCCATTCGAACTGCGCGGAATCACCGACGGAATTTTTCATCAATCGCGAAAGAATTGACAAGAGAAGAAAACGCGTTGTTTGTTGTCTTCCGAAGGCATTTTTTTCTTCCTCGTTAGTTCGTTTTTGCTGACACGCTCGTGTTATGAGCGTTATCTCGATTTTCATGAGCCACTCGGACTCGATTTTTTTTATTGAAACTCGGACTGGATGAAATCGAGAATTCCACGTTTTTTCATTGATTGGGAGAATAATTTAGAACAAAAAATGATTTTTTTTTCTTGAAGAATTCTTTGGGTAAAAGTGTAAATTACACAAAATCACGAAGTGATTTTTGATCAAGCGTTTCAATGAACGCAAGATTTGCATTCATTAAAACGCGTGTATTATCAATCCTGTCTCCGTGATTTAAGCTTTACAAAATTATGGAATCGAAAAAAAATCTCCAGTAGAAAAAAATCTCAGAAATTTTGAGAAATATTTTCATTTTTGACTTTTCTGTTTTGTCGTCATGGATTCATTTGAAGTGATATTTCTGGTTCCTTTACGCCAGATCCAGATCGCCTGATGCATATTCCATATTCGATTGCATCAGACCCAGGAGTAGCACGCGCGTGCATACATTTTAATTCATATAGCCGTCATGCATGTTTTCGACAAATATTGGTATCTCATTGCTACGTTGATTGATAGATAATAGTAAAGTGCAGAGAGAGAGAGAGAGAGAGAGTCGTTTCTGCACATGATTTATGACTCCGTTTATCGAACTTTGATTCTCCAGGAAGACCCGGGATCACATTCAATCTTATCGAGAATAACCGAGAAATATATTACTTCGAAAAATGTCTCAATATGACTAATAAATCAGATATGAGTCTCATTGACATTCAATCTTGTGCTATGATAAGGGCGTTTTTAAATCGTAATTGGACTTGGACCGAGGGTCAGGGGTGAGGTGAGAATTTCTGGGTTGATTCCTACTAGACTTCCTCATTACTATCAGTCAACTTGTAAAATGATTAGATATCATTTCCCTCGTCTTCCACGATGATTCTATCGTTTTCTGGGTGAAATACTGGGTGAAATACTGTTCGGATTACTTCACAGAGAAAAAAAAAAAATAGAGACATGTTGTGATGCAGTGCTGGAAAAAATTGGGGCTGAGAAGACCGGAAATGACTGGATCCGATAAATTTATTGGAGATGATCTAATTTTTTTCTTCTGTTTCTCTGGGTCTCAACCCAAATAATTTTCAACTGAAAAATGCACAAGTCCCAGCGGTGCACTGGGAGTTAACCCTAGCCAACAATGGGGACAACGTTGATGAACAGCGATAGAGGAACGACCGGAGTATTCAGGTCGTGAATCGTTATTGATCTTAAGCACAGATGTTAAAGGATCAACGAGACAATGGCATCGTTCGCCTCGGGTAGTCACTGCGAAGAATTTTGACCTGCAACTCCGTATTTTCTGTTGGAATTCCCGACAAAGAGGGAAATAACCGAATAAGGGAGAAATGGGATCTCTTGGCCGCTTTTTCCTTTCTAAATTGACAATTTTGGAACGAACAAATAATCGTTTCAATTATTAACATTTGAATTAATTAATGGTGTGGGGAAACATCAGCGGAAGTGGGATTTTTCCAGAATTTTTGTGGGGAAAACTCCAGCGCAGATGTCTGAGGCGCTAGGAACGTAGAAGGGAAAGAAGGTCGTCACTGCACTATCGCATTGCATACGGAAGTTTAGTGTGACGTAGCGCATCGTGAAGGATCGACCCTGTGGACGAGCCCCTTGATACCTCGGCCAATGGCGTTTTAGCTTCTATTACTGTTGACTGAAAGGCAAAGGATCCTTGCGTCACCCTTGGAAACGGTGTTTCCACGTTGCGTGATATTGGCTTGTAGCTTGATGCAACTGTTTGAAACCCCTGTGTCGTCACCATTCAAAGAATATTTTTAGAACTCAATTATTCTCTTTGAATGGACACTCTTTCAGTCAGTTTTTATGTCCCAAAATCAACGAATGGATTATTCCATGAGTCGCGTCATTTTTTCCTTCTGAGAAAAATGAAAATTTTACAGCCCCCAGTGGAGTGTTTAACGATGAGATAAAACGATATCAGTGAGGATTGAGATTTGCGGAATATCTCAGAATTGATGATGCAACTTTTTGCATCTCGTGTTTCGATGTAGAAAAAAATTCATTAAAAACCTAGTGTTTTCCCAACAGAAGAGATTCTGTTGAATTTTGAACGTTTTTTAAAGTAAATTTAGTTTTAAAAATATTCTTTGGCGTCATCATTCAAAAAATATTTTTAGAACTCAATTATTCTTTTTGAATGGGCGCTCTTTCAGTCAGTTTTTATATCTCAAACTTAATGAATTCACTATTCCGTGGTTAGGTAGAAAAAAATTCGTAGAAAAAATGAGCGCTTTCTCTAAGAAATTCTATCGAATTTTAACGGTTTTTTAAATGATGAATTTTTAAGATCGCCATCAAATTTCCCTATGTGTTCTATTTTCCGTGATAAATATTCATCGAAAACTCTTCATTTCTCGAATGATTAGAGCCATTCTCCATGTCCCTTTTTGTAGCATTTCCACATACGTGAACTGTTATTTTTTTTCATTGATTTCCGATGGAATAACACCACGCTTCAATTTTTTCCATAAAATTGGTGATGAATACACTCGAGTGGTATTTTTATTGCAGCAAATTCTTACGTTTATCTATTTTTCTCCGGGGCACGACCTTCTTGCAGGGCTCAATAAAAGCTTTGACTATCTTCCTTGACCTCGGTGATAGTTACCCAACACTACTATCAAGTGTAATCAAAAATTGAAAAAAAAAATTCAAGTGTACCGGTAGTGCATCGATTGCTATCACTTCTCATTATCTCGTGAACTCACAGGGGCGACTAATCACTAATGTAATTCCACTAAATTCATTCATGTATGACCATTGATGACACATAGAGTCCCATTTTACCTAAATTACACTTTTATCTAAATTCTTCTGTTTTTTTCAGTGCACGAACTTATTCCATGCCTTAAGTTTCCCATAAATAGACTACTCCCCCGATATTTCATGAAAATTCCCCATCTTTCACTCAACATTTCATTCTTTTATTCGAAGTTCAGGAGTACATTTTTTTAAATTATGAAATCAAGAAGAATACTAACATTCAAATGTAGCGATAGTCATTAGTTTAGCTCTGTCACGGATTCATTATCTCCTAAACTCACAGGGGTGACTGGTCGAAATTGTGAATCCCCTATTTTTTATCTTTGTGTGAACATTGGAGACAAACAGAATCCCATATTATCTGTATTTCCTCATATTTCAACATAAATTCCTGCATTTTTTCTCAGCGCATGACCTTATTTCATGCCTTAAGTGTCTCATAGACTTATTCAGCCTATATTATCCTCCCAAAAATTTATTCCATCAAAATTTCCAAAAAACCACTGCCACCCTCAAATTTAAAAAAATTATAAAAAACACTAGACACATTTTTTTTTTGAATCACGAAAAATCAGGAAGTCAAAAAAATTTGCGAAACCTGTGCATTATAACGTCATAATGCAGAAATTTTCAGTCCCCCATGACTCCTTAATTTTTCATTATCCATCGAAATTAAGAAATATAAAAAAATCAAACCCCAGAGATAAAAATCGTCAGAATGACGTAACATGATTCCAGTTTTGCCGCTGTAGGGAAGAAAATCCCAGCTGTACTCACGCCCACTGACATTCCGACCTTCTTCGCCCTTGAAACTGTGAACGAGAACTCCTCCACGTAGTGCAGGGCGAAGGAGGAATTTTCTTGAGGGTAGTATACCGGTACTCCATCCCGTGCGGTTGCTCCGATTTTTCATCAACAATTAGTGATAAACAATTGAAAACCTAAAACCTACTCACTCACTCACTCACCGCGACCTCATTCGCCCTTGAAACGGTGGACGAGCCTCCGTCCACCGGCCCGAAGTCGGCTCTTCACAGGCGACATAAAAATCTATTTCATTAAAATTTCCTAAATCTCTCCAAACCTCAACCAGAAAATTCTCTGAAAAACCCATTGTTAATTTTTTGGAATTCCAAAAAATTCAAGAAACCTATTCATTGCGATTGATAATGCTGAAATTGTAAAACCCCATAATCCATAAAATTCCGTCATCCATCGAAATAATTCATACGCGTCCAACATTTTCTCCTCAATTTTTCATTAAAAAAATAATAAAATCCGAAAAATGTAAACCAACAGAATGACGTAATCCAATTCCAATTTTCCCGCTGCAGGGATGAAAATCCCAGTGGTACCCACACCCCTCGCCACCCCGTCCTTATTCGCCCTTGAAACGTTGGACGAGCCTCCACGGAGTCGGCGCACTCATTGGCGCGATAACTCGCGCTGTTGAAGAAGCCGCCGCGAGAGTACGAGTGCAACAGAGACGCAGAGCCACGTTTCACGGAGGAGGGGAAGCGGTCGTGAGAGTGATCCGCATCCGGAAAGTATAGGCCGCGTCCTGCCTTCGCCCTCGAGAAACCCCTCAAAAGAATCTTCCATTCGGCATGAAAAATCGTCTCCAGGGAGGCTGGAGCCCCCCCAATCCCTCAATCCGCTTCCATCCCGCGAATGTGCTCACCATTTGTTGCTAAAAAATCGGAGCGATTGCTCCCGGAGTCTATACTTTTCGGAGCAACCGCACTAGGTGGAGTACGGTTATACCCCCACCGAGGAGAATTCCCCCCTCGCCGAGCACGACGTGGGGGAGAGCGGAACCGAGCGAGAGCTGGAGGTGGGCGCGTGTAGAGGCGCCTCCAGCACCGCAGTCGCGATATAAAACTCGAGCTACTCGTGGCTTCTCCATCCAGACAGTTATCGAGTCACACTGGAACTAGACTAAAATTCATTCACAGATCGCAGTATCGATAATTGTTATCAGGTACTGGACAATTAACTGACGATCATTCAATAATTGCGGTGACGGGATTATTTTTCACTGAATAATTTCTGAATAATTTCTTCTTCCGCGTTTCTAGCAGTTATCGAACGAGCTGGACTCGTGCTATAGTTATCGGGTTCGTTCGAGCGAGTGAATTCGCTCGGAAACTTGAAAAAAGTTGATATATCTATTCTGCGTCTCGCGCAGTTGACTAAACTGTGAGGTAATCCAGTGTCAGTGGTGGTTAGTCAAGGTTTGCCGGAGGATTTCCCTGAATTTTTCTACTCCACATGAAGAGAGAAATGAAGACATCACTGACTTACGCCGACAGCCTCCTGAAACCAGAGGTGAGAGCTGGAATTTTCCGGGGAAAATTGAATTGAAGGGCGACTGGGGTTGGGTTGAGCGGCGCCCTAATGAGCCCTTGGAGCATTGTTATTCCTGCGGGCGATTTGTTTGTGCCTCAGTTCTTCGCACTAACACCAATACGATTATTAATTATTACGTAGCAGGCACGAGGCCTGCCGGCGGCCGACTCATCGATCCGCTCTCGCATACGTCACGAGGGCATCGGTACTCGGCGTTCTGTTACGAAAACGAAATAACCCGAGTGCTCAGGAGCATGTGAACCTTTTTTTACTGGCTCGGTGTGTCGCACGTTGGTGGAAGACTTCAGAGTCAATTGAAGAAAAAATTTTTTGGAATTCTGGAATGATTTTTTTTGCGGAAAATCGGTCAGTTTTTGCGGAATTTGAACTTTCGTTTCAGGAATTCAGCCGCGAAGAGTAAAGCGGTTTAGTTCTCATCCGAGATAACGGAATTGTCGTGAAGAAAATATTGACCAACATTTTCCCCTCATTTTGTTATACACGCAAGTTTCGAATTCCACTTGAAAATCATCAGAATGACGTAACAGAATTCCATTATTTTGCTATCTCTCTTAGATTCCGAGATATTCATCAAAAACTGGCGAAAAGTCAAAATCGACTTAACCCGGTTTACCCTTTCGCTGCTGAATTTTCTTTCCCAAAATGTCAATGACCTCAACAGTTAGGAATTTCTACAGATAATATTTCAATCTCCATAGAATCACTTTATCAATGTTACAACAAGTTTACACAAATGCTTCATACATGTCGCACCGAAATTAGAACCTCTGTACTCTGCCCTGTGATCTGACACCCACCCCCTCCCCATAATTTCGAAAACCCGTCGTCGAATTCAGTAGCGAAGCGGTAAACCGGGTTAAGTCGATTTTTCCTTTTGGCCATTTTTTGATGAATATCTCGGAATCTAAGAGAGATAGCAAAATTTTGCTCATGACCTTTTTTGTAACCCTCAGTTGGCTCTACAAAAAAGGTTATGACAACAATTTTTGTATCTCTTTTAGATTCCGAGATATTCGTCAAAAACTGACCAACAGTTAAAATCGACTTAACCCGGTTTACCGCTTCGCTCCTGAATTCTCTCAAATTATTTCCGACTCCACTGCCCAAGAAAATACGAATGGCTGTTTGATCCGATGTTTACATTGGCTTCAATCGCATGTAATAAATGTCCAGCTGTATTCACAATCCAAAAATCAACGTTTTCGAATGTCCACGTGTACCTTCCCTCGGAATTGACAGGCGCGTGGGCCTTTAATCAAGTCGCGTGTGTGCGCACGCGTTTCAATTGACATGAAAAAGGTCCCCGTCGGCTTTTACTCGACTTATTTTATCCCGACTGGAGCGGCAGACTACATCGCCGATGCGCGTGGGCCGAGGGACATTATGCATTCGTCGGCAACGACGAGGAGATTTCATTTTTGCTACCCATTCATATATCCAACGGCTCTCCCCCCATTGGACGCTCGGCGGGTGTGTCTGTGACGTCATTCAGCCAGATCTATATTCATTATTCCGGTTCGCGAACATCCGGTTTCAAATACTGAGCGCGGGAAATTGGAATAAGAGGGGGTGCATATAATAACGACGAGAAAACTTTTTCTTTAATGAAAAACATTTTTTTTCGGGTTCACAAGTCGAGGAAATTGAGTTTTTCGAGTCGTTTCATTGGAAAAATACTGAAATTTCAATAAACAATGGCCCGTTTCTTTACCCTCTGAGATATTACGAAACCCCATTTTATGAGAACTGATGACTAGAATTGAATTATTTTGCCCTCTCATTTAAGATGAAATCATCTTGTTGTTTCAATTAATGAAATTTTTCTCGTATTAAACATGATATCGTCAATTACCAGAACAGCCGTATGTCTAACTTAAGTACGTTGCTGCCTGCGGGAGGAATGAAGCCCTTTCCGGAGTTTAAAAAAAGACCGGAATTTTAGTCAGAAGTTTAAATAGTATTCTTCTCGTTTTCGCTGTCTCGCGGCCGTCTTTGGTTCGAGAAAAATGAGTGCGGAAGTAGCTATCCAAATTTATTGAATGACACAATCCCTGCTCATTTAATCCCCATATATTTCTATAAATATATTTGTTAATACACTGTTAGAATTTTTTTGAAATTTCATGGAAAAAATTACAGTAAATCTCATGAGAGTGGCATTGAATGGGATTTGGAGAAAAAATGGTTATAAAATTTCAAGTGTTAAGTAAAATTCACGGAAATTAATGAGTTTTCAGTGGAAGATGAATATTCGGAAACAGAATGACATGAATTTTCAATTTTTTCCTGATTTTTCTGAATTTTCACAGAATAATTGAACTGAAAAATCAATTATTTTATTGATTTCGAGATCCTTTTAACATAAAATCAATGGAATTTTTGATTTTTCAATGACAAGATTTTCTGAAATTTCAGTGGAACTTGCACACGATAAAAATTTCCAGAATTTGGCACGAAAAATTCAGACGAAAATTTTTAACAGTGCAGCCGAAGCCAATGATCCGCCTGAAGAAAAATCCCTCACTGAAACGTAAAAGCACAAGTATCGGAGATATAATCAACGCGACGAAATTAGATGATCAGAAAATGAAATATCTAGATCGAACTCCTATTAGATGATGGAACGATTTGATGCAAATGAATGCCACATTTGGAATTAATTCATTAGTCCGTGATTATGATCGTCTCTAGCGAGTTCTGAAGTTCTATTGATCCCAGTCACGAGGCGCCAGCCGACCTACATAGCGCGAATGTTCTAATTGCGAGTACCTAAATAAATAGACGCGAGTGAGTATTTACGCTACCAGAATCAGCGGAGTCCCCTCGCCAACGAATGATTCACATTTTGAATGGAGAATTAATAGATATTATCATTCGATTGTATACTCACATGTGGGAGGAGAAATTCAAACGTATTTTTACTTGTTTCCAGTAGTTTCTGCGGGTTTAAGTGAGTCAAGTGTCATCTGCAGATCCATAATGACCGCATTTGCATAATCAACATCATTCGAATTGTTTTTTTTTATTTTGTTTGTATGAATGAATGACGGAGACTGTTTAAACGATAGTCAATGAGCTATCGAATTCCTTGAATTCAGTGGTAATTTGCAAGATTTTTATCTCCGTATGAATGTCCTCAATTTGAATCGTAATTTTATCAATCCTCAATTACTTATTTGAATCAATAACATTTTTTCCTCGTACTACATCCGAACGAAGAGAAAAAAAGCGCAGAAATATGGGGGCAATGATTCATTGTAGCAAATTCCCTTGACCAGTCGAACGTTTTTTGCTCCGCATTTTTCTCCTCCGCACCATTTTCCCGATACTTTAGACACGAGTTGAACATTCGTACCCCAATTTCTATTGTACACATAAAGATAAGGGTATTCGAACGACTGTAAAGATAAGAAACACCGGATGATTAATGAGTTGAGGCATTTGTAGATAAGCTCGATGGATGTTGACCAACTTTATTGTCGATATATTGCACTAAAATCCTTTGACATTTAGGATTAAAGAGAAATGTGTGTAATGAATTTATTGCAGTGCACTTGTCACGTGCCTGTTGGTTTACAACTCAATGATTGGCTCGTAAACTGACATGAGATTGAGGAAAGGTCGTTCAATGTCATTGAGATATTGTTTCAAATATTTACAGATCAAAGATGCCTGCAAGGGTCTCGTTCTCTCGGACGAACAGCTCAGGCTGGTTATGCAGCGATTGACCCATGAAATTAATCGAGGTTTAGCTAAGGAGACACATGAGGAGGCCATCGTTAAGTGTTTCACGACTTATGTTCAGGATTTACCTAATGGAACAGGTAATTATCCCTTGTTATTCATTATTTATTCATTACATGCCCACTAGGCTGTTGGAAATTTTTTGACAATTAAGCAATAGTTGCATTTGAATTCAGTTTAAGGTCAAATCGTTCATGAAATCTCTCATTCAGCTGGGAAATTGAGGATAATTGGGTTTTCCATGGCAGATTATAATTGATAATTCTATGACATCTGGAATTTTTGAATTCATTGCGGAAATTGAATAATAAAAAAAAAAATTATTTATAAAATTTCAAAATTTGGATGGACGTATCTCGTTATTCTCGTAGCTTCCCTGAAATTTGGTTGTATTTTTTTATTGGATAAAATGATAAAATAAAAAAAAGTTTGACACACATTATATTTTGCATAATCTATTCCATTTTATTTCGATAAAGCGCCTGCACAATTTCGTAATAAATATCCTTGAATTCATGAAAAACAGAAAATTCAATTAAAACTTCTTTCCTGATGGTGAAATCTCCAAAACAAATTGTAAAATACAAATTTAATTTTCACGTCGTTTTTTATTTTATTCAGAAAAGGGTAATTTCCTGGCACTGGATCTGGGTGGTACGAACTTCCGAGTTCTCCTCATCACCCTGGACGGCCACAATTTCGACATGCAGAGCAAAATCTACGCAATCCCACAGAGTCTCATGCTGGGAACTGGTACCCAACTGTTTGATCACATAGCCCAGTGTCTTGCCCTCTTCGTGAAGGACCTGGAGTTGGAGAATGAGATACTGCCTCTTGGATTTACATTCAGCTTTCCACTGACTCAGGTTGGATTGACTGAGGGATATCTCGTGAGGTGGACCAAGGGCTTTGACTGCAGTGGGGTCGTCAACGAGGATGTCGTCAGACTACTGGAGGAGGCCATTGCCAGAAGGAATGTAAGTGCCTCGATTAAAATCTAGCACAACTTTTCGTTGCATTCAACCTATTTTCGAATATTTCAAGCATTTTATTGTTCTCTGAAATTTTGAAGGATGTAAAAATTGACGTCTGCGCCATATTGAATGATACAACAGGAACATTAATGTCATGTGCGTGGAAAAAACCAGGATGTCGGATTGGCCTTATTGTTGGTATGTTTGAAAGAATTTTATTTCACCTATGATTATTAAATTCATCAACAATTTTCCGATACATATCTTTGTCTCTAAGATTGCACTATTTCCTTTGATATCTTGAGGCAGGGAAAAACATCTCAAATTGCTTCATGAAATCATTTTAATCTCCTTCCAGGAACTGGCAGTAATGCATGTTACGTGGAAAAAACAGAGAACACAGAGTGTGCAGTTCCTGGCAACTACAATCCCGATAAGCCAAATATGCTGGTCAATACAGAATGGGGTGCATTTGGAGAGTGTGGCACCCTGGATTTCGTGGTGACTGAGTACGATCAGGCAATCGACAGAAATTCGATAAATCCCAACAAACAGATATTCGAGAAAATGATATCAGGAATGTACATGGGTGAATTAGCTAGACTCGTGCTCGAAAAACTCGTTGACAATGGATTGTTGTTCGGTGGCAAGTGTCCAGTGGATCTGAAGACACGAGGAAAATTCTTCACTAAATATGTCTCGGAGATTGAAGCGTGAGTTGCATAAGATTGAGTTATGGAGCGTTAAAAAAACGACGAACGATAACGAGTGTTTTTTTCTGGCTTTGCAGAGATCCCAAGGGTAAATACACAAATTGCCGGGAGGTTTTGGCGGAATTGGGTATACGTAATCCATCTGATCAAGACTGTGAAAATGTTAGATACGTGTGTTCAGTTGTGTCTAGGAGAGCTGCACATTTGGCGAGCGCTGGTATCGCTTGTTTACTTGTTAAAATTAGTGAGGACAATGTTACTGTTGGTATTGACGGTTCAGTCTACAGATTTCATCCACATTTTCATGATCTTATGACTGAGAAAATTAGCCAACTACAGAAGTACAAGGTATGCTTATTTCCATTAAAAAAAATCTTTTATCAACGAAATTTCGAAAGGATGTGGTTAAGCAAGAAGAGATTAATTTTTAAGAAACATGTTTTTGGGAATTTTTTTTATGAAGAACCATTTTATGAAGCAAAATCAGAGTCACAAGAAGTACCATATGAAGATGCTTTTTAACTGATTGATGACTTCATTGCAAAAATAGAATAAAATAAAAATTGAATAGGCGGTGTTGACACATCCAAGATAACAGAATTGAAATAATTAATTCGACTTGTTTCACTAATCATTTTGATTTTAAATTCCCAGTTCGATTTGATGCTGTCGGAGGACGGAAGTGGTCGTGGTGCAGCGCTGGTTGCAGCAGTAGCTGCACAAAAGCGGTGAAGATTCACCGATTAATCAACAATTTGATAATTAATTGAATTTTTAGATGTAAATTAATACGATCGAAAGAAGAGGAAAAACTGAAAAAAAGTGAAACTTAAGATGAAGTACTTTGTTTGTCAGACTACTTGTAAATAGAGCACAAAGATATGAGATCATTGATTTAAATATTAATACAAAATCTTGAATAGATTTAATAATAGCCTAGGTCGTTGGCTGACGTGAATTAGGAATACTAGTCTGGTCGATATTCAGGGGAAATGAGAAGCGAAAAATTGTTATGATTTTATTCTCAATCCTGGGTAATTCTGAAAGGACAAAACGATGTCAAAGTGGATATTAAAAACGAAAAAACCATTGTAATACAGAGGAAATAGTCGTTATACCCCGGTTAACTTAATTTCATTTTGTAATAATTTCAATAGTTTGTCTATGAAAATAACAAAATAACTGTCGTAAAATCCGAAAATGACGAATGGGCGATGAGTGGGTGAGAGTATTTTATGATTATCCTGTGAGTATGTGTGCAAATGTGACTGTAAGAGGGAGAAAAATCAACAGCAGTGATGTTAACAACAATTGGATGAAACTAATTATTTATTCAATGCGAAACAGATGATGAAAACAAAGAAACCGACACTTGGGACGATTTATAAATTATTTGTATCGTTATTAAATCCGCATAAATTAAACGAAATAAACATTAGGACAAGATGAGTAAAAAAAAAGTAGAGTTATTTTAGGCTTTAAACTCACATTGCGATCAACGAATGAAAATGGAAGAACAATCATGTCTCATATCGACATACCTTTATGTCATCAAAGACAAATTCATTATCAAGAGTTTGATAACGAACTTACCAGTGACACTGAGTAAATAGTAATACGTTACGGTTATAGAGGAGAAGTCTTCTTGAGACATAAAGAAAATGCCTGTTGTTACGGCTAAAATAGTCTTGTTACCTTCCATACTATAAAACGTATCTTGGACAAAAGAAAAATCTTGCTTTATTTGTTGACTATTCATTTTTAAATTTATTGAGTTGTATTTCAATGATACCATGCTGAGGCGTCTGAGGGGATTAAAACGGGTGAGTAAATTCGTTGGTATTACTATTCACAGATGAAATTAATCGTTGTTATATTGAAAATTTTTGAATAAAAAAATATCGTGAAATATGAATTTATTTAATTCTTCACTCTGGAAATGTTCCTCACAGAGAGACATTCTTTGAGCTGGAAAATTTATTTGATAGTACGTGAATTATTCTCGTATGGATATCAATTTTTTAACGAAATCTAGGGCTCGAATTCTGAAGAATTTCGCTCTGTGCAGACATCGAATTAATCATAATATTGAAATAAAATTATTTTGACATTATTAAATTCATTATTAATCAGTCATTCATTTATTTATTCAGCCATTTGAACTCTCCCAAAATTAATATTTATTCAACCGATGGAAGAGTCGTATTTTTTATTCTAAAAAATTGCTTTCGATACGTGCGGGCGTTATTTTATCGACGAAATGGTCTGGCCTATTGCTCTCTTCGTTAGATGGTAGTACTACGGGACTTCCCGGACGATTAAAAAATTCCGAATGCCAGTCGAAAACATCACAATAATGTAGCACGACACGGCTGGCAAATGTTTTCGAGTAAAAATAATCACGTCTCAAGAATAAAGTGATACTTATCAGTCCCTCCAATTTGCCAATCAGTATTTCAACACCAACAATCACTTCTGGTAATTAATAACGTAAATAAACGGGGCAATATGATCAGTGGATTTCAAGTAGCCTTGAAAAATACTATCGACGTGGTGAGTGTTATTATTGTACCGCCTCAGGACCACTGCTTTGTTGTCACACCTTTTAATTTGTTTTTCTCTCTCTCCTCGAATCACTATTTTGTCACATCAAAGTGCTTATGTTTTCATTAATCAATAGATATCGCCTCATTATTAATTTCTTTTCATGTACATATGCCAGAGGATTATAAATAAATTGATGTTATGTTTTCGTTACACTTTGTCTCATTATTTCCACCCCTCATTATATTCTTTACGATTATTGTTTATATTATTTATTCGTTGGGCACAAGTTGTTCATTATGTCAGTGTATATGATATTTCATGGTTTCGAAACGTCATCTTTTACTTTTTAATTTCACGTTTTTTTGCTTTGAAGCTCTGAACGAAGAATAAAATAATATTTCTTGTATTTCGTTTCATTATTCCAATGAAATAGTCAATGGTCTTTGTCATCTGATACTTTTTTGTTTTTGTGAAATTATTTCTTGATTTCCGATAGTTTTCTTTTACTTTTCGTACCAGAAAAAGAGGCGCGCTTCGTGCACGTGATTGTCCAGTTATTTATGCAACATTATTGTTGATCACTATGTACTCATTTATTCATTAAAAAGAATTTAGTGTCCGTTTTTATCATGTTTAGATGAGAAAAAAATTGAGCAATTTTTAAAAAATTTCACTATGAAAAATTCAAGTTGTGAGGTTCATGAAACTGATTCCTCACCTTATCCGGAATTCTAATCATCCCAAAGGACCCCCCATTCGGTCTACAGCGTCCTTGAATTCCAGATAGCGCCTCCGGCGACGCCGCTCCAGGATTTCACCTACCACTGGAAGCAGCTGATGAACTATTACGCGAGTCACCAGACAAACTGTAAATTGCCGATCGAGAGCACCTGCATACCCCAGCACCTGGAGCGCCTCCTGGAGATTCTCCTCGCCGAGGAGAAGAGGGACGACAATCCAGGCCCCTGCCTCGAGTACTTGCTGCAGCACAAACTGCTGGACTGGTTGACGACCCTGGCGAGTGTCGAGACCCCTCCGGGGATGCGTCACGTCTGCCTGTCCTTCATGAAACGTTTGCTGGCGCGATCGCGGTTTCCCCTGCTGCACCAGGCTGCCGTCTACGGCCCCGTACAGCGATTGATAAGCCTCTGCAGCGGCAAGATACCCTCGCCGATCGAAACCGAGGAAATCCACTTCTTGTTGACCATTTGCTTCCTCGTCTGCCGTTACCCCCACGTCACCAACATCGTGAGTGACTCGAGTGCAGTCAGGCTCGACCCGGAGGCGCGAGCCAGTGCCAACGAGACAAGTGACAAACATTCCGTGACGTACGTCTCCTCGAAGAAGCGAAATAGCTTGAATCCCCTGTTCGAGCCGCTCAACACCCAGGCAATCACCCTGATAAACCCCAATTTATTCGCCTGCGATCACCAGAGGCGGAAGTCGATTGTCGGCGAACGGCTCAAGCCGAAGGACGAGGGGAGCAGGGGCAAGGAGGGGCGGAAGGACGTGGCGAGGTCCAGCGAATCGACGCCCTCGAGGGACACGGAAAACTCCTCGGGGTCCTACAGTCCCGTCCTGGGTAAACCGAGGCAGGATCCGGGGGCCCTGGAGGCACCCCAGGACTGCCGGGGGTGCGACAGGGTCTCCGTTTTTGATGCTGAGAAACTGCGGGACTTGGAGGAGCTGAGGATTGATACCGAATGCTGCAATGGGGCGAACGAGTCTGAGGAGTCCAAGAATCAGAGCCTCGCGATGTCGCCTCAGCAGGGGGAGGGCTCCAGCAGTCTGCTTTTCGATGCCTTAATTAGTTACATTAATACTGCGGTAGGTTTTTCTGGGTGAGGAAGGTCTGGGGGTATTTGCAAAATGGGAAATTATGGGATGGGATGTGGTGGGATGTTTCTCGGGCATTTGGATTTTTCATCAAGTGAGACCTCAATTCATAATTCCATGAAAGAAATCGATGAGAATTCGGAGTTTCATGAAAAAATCTATAATAATTGGGAATTTCAGTTCCATTATTTCATAATAATTAATCCTTTATTATTTTTCTTCAATCCACTTATTCCTATGACATTAATAAAAATGTATGATAATCATGAAATTTTGACTTTATCCTGTTTTTCATCAGTGGCCTCCAGAATTTGATAATTTAATTGTCTCTTCAAGGATAATACAGTCAGGATTCGAGCCTGCGAGGGAATAATGGTCCTAACATCCCTCGAGGACCCCTCATTCGCGAGAACGATGGCGAAAAGTGACTTGCCACGAGTAGTAACAAATCGCCTGGAGTACCTTTTCAACTCCATTCCCGCACACGTCGACCCAGCAGAGCTCGACGACATCGATGTCACCTGGGCTCTCGACTCGCCCCTCTGGACGAATGAGAAAAAATTCCCAGGGTGTCGACAGGTGGCTGCCTACTTCATGTGGCTCGATTACTGTGATCAATTGATCAAAGAAGCTCATCCTGATGTTGCCCATGAACTTGCCAGGACAATCAGACTTCTGTTCTTCGAAAAAGTCGTGACTCCCGCATTGTCAGAGCATCACGTTGTGTTGATAACAGCTCTTATTACGGAGACATTGAAAAAGATAACGTCACACCTGCTGAGCACAGGTGAGACAGCAAATAACAATCAACTTGAGACCATTCATCAACGCCAATTATTCAATTATTTTTTTATGTAACGAATGCTGACTTTCACACGAGCACAATTTACGCTCTAGTAGTTTTTGATGAATGAAAAGGTAGTAATGTAACAAAATCGCCATGAGGAGATTTTGTTACAATTAAAGATAATCGTTCATTCAACTTTGAATTAAATAAAGTCGTTTAATCTTCCATAAATTTTTTAAGAATACTTGAAATCGAAGGGATACAAAACACGTTCATTAGAATTCTTTGTGTAGATCAAAGTGAAATCCACAAAAAAAATCCTTATGAAAACTCGGCTGTCGCCGTTGTAAATTTTAATAGATTCAGAATCAACTCAAAGTCAACAATATATATAACTAATAATGAGGATTCCAGTTCTCTCATTGAATAGTAATAAAAGAAACTCAAAGTCAAATGGAGTTAAGTTATTCTGCCTCCCCCCAGAGATGAACTACTGGCTCGTGGGTGAGCAGAGAGACCCAGTGATAGCAGACGTGTGTTCCCCATCAGTCGTGGAACGACTGATCGAGAACTGCTACACAGACAGCGATGATTTGACCCTGGAAACACTCAAGTTGTTCGAAGAAATAATGGACAAGCGAAACGAGCACGTTCTCCACTGCATGGTATTGTCATACCTCTCGTCACGTGGTTACTACGACAACACAGCTGCTGACAGTGCTATTGCTTCCTGGAGCGATGAGGAAGATGAACGTGAACGAGAGAAAAAGGGAACACTGGATTTTTCCACTGAGCAGAGTCACAGTAGGACGTTGGCTCCCAGTAATATCCACAGAATCATAAATTGGTAAGTTTCCTATTCTTTCATTTCAGGGTTTTTCATTAATAATAGTTTTATTATTAATAATAATTAATAATAAAACATTTAAAAAATATTTATTGAGCGTGAAATTGGTTTTCACCCTGGAATAAGATGAGTGAGAAAATTCGGAGTGGTAGATCTTGGAAATGAATGACTTCATAAAAACATTCTAAAGTTCAAAAAAGTCTAGATTTTTTCACATCGCTGTTCCAATCTGTTCTCGTCCCCTTTCAGCTTCTTATCACTGATGCCAAGACAACTCCAGACAGACCCTGGCGAGGACAATTACGAGCGTTACATGGCAGACTGGGAGAAGCAGTACGAACGAGCGAAAATGGACTGTGCCCTGTTCGCCTGGCCCCTGGAGGCCGTCAGCATCGATGACTCGGGTAGCTACGACTCAAGACCAGAGGCAGATCACTGCTCATCTCGTTTCTACATGGGCCCCTTCCTCACCATGCTCCTGGACAAGGTCTCAAGCATTCCAAATCAAAAATACGAGATCAATCTCCAGTTGACTGTTGTCGTATCGAGACTGGCACTGCTGCCACATCCGTACCTGCACGAGTTCCTGTTGAATCCACTGTTGCCACTGGCCCCAGGGACCAAGAGTCTCTTCGGTTGCTTGCAGAAGATTGTTAAAATGTTGGTGGGGGAAACTACGAAATTGCCCAAGTTCAAGGAGGGACTCAAGGAGACCAGGAGGAAATTGCTGGAGGATTCACAGGGACTGTATGTATCGAAATTAATTTTATACACCAGATGAAATTGATTGTTATCGTTAAATTCATGATTCAATCACATTTTCTTTTTTTTCATTCTTCCCTTCAATTCATTAGATCAGAAGATATTCAAGACTTGAGAAATTTCATTCAAGTTTGAAGAAATTGCAAAAATCTCATCAAGATCGGTTTAAAATATGAACATGAAAGGATTTTATTGAAAAATTGCAGTTGTTTTTAGTGCCATTCTATGAAGAATTATACAACTTCCCCGTGTGTTTTGATAGATATAAATAACTTAACTGAAAAATTATTTTCAATTTCAGAGTCACAGAGAATATTTTATACGAGAGTGTAGTGATAACCGAAGAATTTTGTAAGGAGCTCGCCGCAATAGCTTACATCAAGTATCAACATTCCATGTGAATAAGGAAACAAGTCCAATGCAACGTGTGTACCTTAATAAGTGTAAAATTCGTTAAGATCATCTAGCGTAATGTACAAGTGATAGATAGATCAATTATATTTAGACGAGGCGTTTACAAAGATGCACAATTGTACTTTTGCTCGAATAAAAGATTCATTTTAACATTTTTACTGTTTTTTGACAACCACCAAATTTTCCCCTTTCAAATCGAAAATATAAATAAATATTCAATAAATATAAATAAATAAATACTAAATAATAATATTAATAATATTTTAATATTAATATTAATTTATTTCAATGAATATTTATAGAATATGAACTTGGAGAATATTTATAAATATTGATAAAAAGAAAAGAATTAATTTTTTATCTGAAGAAAATTCACATCGTTGGAAATTTCTCGAGTTTTTCATATTGAAAAAAATGCATTGTGTATCGTACTTCACTAAAATATAAATGCCAGTGGTTATCACTCATTATCCTCACAAGTATCAGTGATTTCATTCCATCTGTAAACAATCTCACGTGGCCCTATTCGAATTTTGGAGCAGGGCCAACAATGCTTGACATCACGAAAACAATAAACGATATTCTCCACGAAATAACAGGAAACATCGATAATAAAGCAAAAATAATCCGAATAAATAATGAAGATACATCGCTTAACGGTGATTTGTGGTTTCCCTCTAACCTACTGGCCTGGAGGGGTCTGATAACACCTGATAACGATGAAAAACCTCCCAAAGACATTTTGGAGCATTACTCAAAACGAAAAGAAATTGATATCTCTGGATTATCCAACGAGAGCATCACACAGAAGGTGAGAATTCGCCCCTAAAAAACTCCATAAACATCTTCTGAAGCTATTGTTAACCTACAAAATGTCCTCCAGGCAATTGGTGCATTGATAACAGCGAGTAAAGACTGGGAATTTAGATTAGAGAGAGGATGTCTCCAACGAGAACGAGTCTGTCTCTTCCTGAATCGTCCTCTGGCCATCGCAAAAATCATCAAAAAAACAATAAAGCATAGAATTCGATTACTCCAGGAGAATAAAACGATTTTCTTCAGAATAAATGATGATCCGGAGTCGAGTCTCACGACTTTTCGACTCCAAAAATTGAAAAACGTGACTGAAAACATTTTTAAACTCCAGGGATACGAAATAAAAGAAACTTCTGCAGAGAAATATCTGCTGACGACGAAATCCCAGGGTGTGATAGAGGATGGCTACAGGAAATACGTCTGTGGGGTTGTGAGAAACCCAGAATCGAATGTCAAGGAGACCTCAGAGACGAAAGACTCGTATCTGCAGAGGAAAATTAAATTTCTCGAGGAGTTGAATGAGGGGAGGGACTCAGGGGTAAATGACCACGAGGTGAGGCTCAAGAGGGTTGCAGAGGCTGTCCTAACATTCGAGATACTGGGGGTCAGGCCCAGTCGTCCCAGCTTCATCGAAATTTCCAGTAGCCCTGACAAGACCATAGCGAGCACGAAGGGGGGCTCTTTCGTGCTGTATAATGTGGCTAGGATTGAAGCCATTCTTCGGAAATTTGGGGAAGAGTACGGGAGTGAGACGTGGGCAGGGGTGGAGGATGTTGAGCGAGTTGACTTCAGTAGGCTTTCGTCACAGGTGAGCAAGAATTAATTGTATCTAGGTATCTGTCTATCTTTATTGGAAAAAGGCAATAGAGAAAAGATGATAAAATCAAAATAATGAGAATAACAATTATTGGAAAAAGAATCTAGGACAAAATATACGAGAATAAAAGGAATATACAAGCTTGTAGAATTCTTGTCGTCTTGCTGTTGAAAAAATTAGAATTTCATTGAATTTTCCATGAAACTTGAAATTTCATGATTTTTTTTTCCATTAAATGCAATAAATACTACTAAACTGTCGGTGAAATTTCAAGTTTTACCAACATTGTGTAAATAATTTCGTCAGAAAAATTCCTAGGAAATGATTTTATGGAGAAATTCCTGCAGGAATTCTATGAAATCATTTTCTGAAAATAAATTTTCAGAACATGATTTTAGAAATCGTCTCTTTGATATCAATTTAATATCGAAAAAATCCGCTATTGCTGATTTCTGTTCCAGGAAGAGTGGACTCTCGTCTACAATTTTATCCTGGCCTACCCCCATGTATTAAAGAACTCCGTGCAACATGGGGAGTCCCTGGAGCTATGCCCCCAGCTCCTCTGCACGTTCCTGTCTCACTTGAGCCAGAAATTCAGTGTTTATTATCGTCGCACACGAATATTGACGGTAAGACCATAAAATAAAATCATCGCGACAAAATGATCTCATAATTTTGATTTTCATTCACTCAGGAAGAACGCGAGCACATGATTCCAACCATGACAGCCAGACTGTGTCTTCTAAAAGCCCTTCTGATCGTCCTCCATCACGCTCTGGAGGTACTAGATATCACGCCAATACTCCAAATGTAAATAATCAAAAGGAATAAAGAAACAAAAAGGAAAAACTCACCAAGTGCTCTCCATTGCTGATTCGGAATTCATATCTCTTTATTTCATATTTCTCGGTGGTGCCTATACCTACGTCCACGTTTCATTCATGATGCATTCATTATTATAGTAATTGTATATTTAAAAAATAGCTCTACGTTATTGAATTATTAATTGATTTGTCATCGGATACTTCAGAAGAAGTGGCTTCCGAATTTTCAGACGTTGAATTTATCGATTCATTTTTTTTATTATCCGCAGAGGCTTTAGGTTTCTCTGGAAGTATGAGCTTGTGATAATGACTTTGGGTCAGGGGTAAGTGAGGGGCGATGTGACTAGGCTCGATGAAAAGCGTTGGTGATACCTGAAAATCAAATCAATTAATTTGATTTATTGAATTCTGAAGAAATTGTTTTGAGAATTAGTCAGTGAAATTCAGGAGATTTTATTCCTTCGTTCAAACGTTTTTTGAATTCATAAAAAGCTTGTACATGCCTCAACAATGGATTTTAAATACACAGAAATTGTCTAGAAAAAATATTTCCCTGATCTAAGACCCATCAAAATTAAGAATTAATATTTATCTCGAGTGATAAAAAATTACGTACATGAATATCCTTCACTTGCGCTTCCCTAGACGTATATTCCCTCAGGATATAGTTCTTCCCGAATTCGTGATAGAGTCTAGTGTCATTTATCCTGAGCATTACGTTATCTATCCTCAGGAAATAACGCAAAAGGATAAAGAAACTGCCAGGCATGACACGCTGCAAAAAAGTGAGTAAAGAAGAAATTACACGAATGGACTTATGAGCCTAGAATGGAAGCAGAAGGGAGCTCACTATTTTCACTGAGAGAGAGCCTATCCCATTGTCGTGCAGTTCGTCCTCGAAGAGTGTGAGCTCGTGATAAAACAGAATCTTCTCCTTTCGTTTCAATTTCTCCATGTCAATCTTCTCCTTGGTTTCTTCAATCGTCACACCGTCCATTGTACCTGTGTAGTCAGTGGTGAATGTCCAGTCGAAAGGCTTCACTTTTTCCTCTAGATATTCTTTACAATCAGACCTGTGCACAATACATTATAAAATTCACCAAGTAACTAGATTTGCAGAGCTACTGAGTCTATTTTCTCGTCTTATTGAGGATTAAATTATTTGGACTGAGAGCAATTCTAGGGAAGAATAACTGTTTTATGCCATTTTCCGTTGGAAGTTCTGTCAACTAAAAAAATGGTTTTTGAGATTTTCTTCTGCAGTCACAAGTTCTCGAGATAATTTAACATAAATAAACGTGTCGTCATCATGTAATTAGGTTTTTTTATAATTACATACCTCGATTCCTTCCAAGCCTCAGCACAAGCCAACTGAAGATGTATTTTCCCATTCGACACACGTTTCAATGCATCCAGTGCATTGAACTCAATTTTAGCACCATTTTGGTGTTTTAGGTACAAAATGTTATTTGGAAATACCATGTCTGGCATGTGGGGCATTTCCAAGGCTCTATTGTATCTGTATAAACACAAATTTTTATCTTTAAATTAACAACGACAGTGAGAATAAAATTTAAAATATCATAATTTCAAGTGGACTGTTCTATGAAAAAAACTCATTTGAGGGATTTTATTATCAGCATTAAATATTTAATGAGTTGAGCATGAGAATTCTAGTATCCATTTTGCCTCCTCGACCCCTAATTCAGGAAAATAAATGGAAATTTCACAATTTTCAGGTACTTACACACAGAATTGACAAGGTTCTGGGTCTTCTCCGCAGGACTCTTCATTTTTCGAACACTTGGAGTGTAAAATATGGGACTGAGTGTATTTAATCTGCCAGGGTGGAAAAATATGCTCTTCCTCGTTGACAGGCAGCCGGAGAATGTCAATCCCACCGTGCACCTTTATCGTGGTCATTGTTCTGAAAGTTTATTCTTGGAGGAGTGTTTGTGTATTTTTGCGATAACCTCATCACGACAGTTACGTTTACCGTCGCTAATGATCCCCAAGGGATGCGTGTAGAATCTAAATAAATGTATTCAAGTGTTTATTATCCATTTTTATGCACTTACGGGTGTTAGAATGATTATTAGATGATCTAATATTCAAGATTATTAACAAAACATTCGGGTGACTGAGGAGAGGAGCCGAATGCGGATGAGAAACTTATATACTATTGTGGCTGATGGCAGCGCCGTGAGGCGAGAAATGTCACGCGGGAAATGAAAAATGATGCGATTCAATCATCCTGAAAATATGCTAGGTGAATGATACGCTTTGGATGAATATGGGCTCATTTTCAAGGTCTTTTCTTCACCTTTAAAATGGGACTAAATGTTTTCAATTTCCCTCTCCAATCTCGAATTATCGTCGATTAAACATTTATCGAAATGATAAAATCATTTTGAGTGAACTTATTTATATAAAACGACATCGAGAAAAATAATCCATTATTTCGAGTGGAGAAATTACTCTAGATCAGGAGAAAATGATCAACGCATTGCATGATGTTTTTCAGTTTTTATTATTTGGAAAATGACACAGCTCAGAACTTCATTCTGTGTGGATATTGGCTACTGCGAAGGCCAAACATTGCCGACAAGTACGTAAACAGCATCTTTTTGTCTTGACGTTTCTTAATAGCGCCAATGATGAGTTTGTCGACAACCTTCTGGTCAGACTTCCTCTGCTCGCTGGGTTTGTATTCCTCCTTCTTCTTGCTGAAGATGTCTCCCTCCTCCTTCTTCGCGCGCTTGTCGCGTTTCCTTTTGAAATACTCGTCGTTTAGGGTCTCAGGGAGTTGCACTCCAGACAAATCAATCTTCGTGGAGGTGGCGATGACGTAGTTTTGGCTCACACGTCGGAGGGGACAGGCGTTGATGAGGAATGGACCTTTAATTGATAATTAATGCGATATTTTTCGTGTTACGAGATAATTAGCTTTTTGGCATTCTCACATTTTACTATTTTTCTTCTTATATTTTTATATTTAACATTTGATCATTTACATCTTGAAATTTTACTCTAAAATCACTCGTTATCGAGGTAATTTCATGCTTTTTAAAATTTAAGCACAAACTTTTTGGTTTTATAGGTGAAAAACATATCTTTTGTTATTTCAGTATTTATCTCGGAACCGCTTAGTTTTAGAAGAAAATTGCGTAGACATTTTTTGTATCTGAAATAATTTCCAACAAAAATTGTTTTGAATCATTCTCCTCCGAAATTCCGTTTTATCGAGATAATTCAACATTTCAATGAGTGGATTTGTGAATATTGAACTTAATGTCAATTAAAAAATTGTTAAAATTCATAACAATTGTCTCGTTTGATTGAACTCGAAGATATTTATAAAAAATTTACTGCAGAAAAGATGAAAAAACTAGTTGAACTTACCATTGACAAGAAGAAGTCCACTCTTGAGAACCTTGAGTAGAACAACGCGTTTGCCCTTATGTGGTCCTGCCAAGAGGATGCAAACTGTTCCAGGTGTCAGAGATGGTCGTACATAACGTGTGTGATCACGGAATGTTTTCTTCGCGTGATGAACTGTTACTGGATCAGCTGTTGGGTAGTTGGCACGTCTTTTCTGGAGACGAACGATGCGAGTGCCTCCGTTCTTGTCACCATTGATCTTCTTCTCAATGGTCACTGGCTTCTTGGGCTTGACCTGATGAACAAAAATACAGAGAATATCAATAACTTTCATTTGATATTAACATTTCATGGTCTTGCGTATAATTACCTACATTGATTACCTTTGTGCGTTTTTTTTATTTTATAAAAGAGCATAAAAATCCATGCCCTTGTGATACATTTTTATGAATTCAACATTTTATTGGGTGTTCAGAGGGTCCCTACTGACGACTTCTATTGATGAAGAATAAAAATTCAAAGGAGAATTTTAAATTGTCCGGCATCACAAGAATTTTACAAATTCAGTATCATTTGCAAAAGGTTTCTTTATTATTTAAAATGGGACGAAATTCATTTGAATTGTTCGTTTAGGGAATATGTAACATAAAAAAAAAAAATTTTGCAGAGACAATGAGAGAAAACTTACAGTCTTTGGAGTTTTCTTGTCAAGGAACTTGTACACAGCCTTCTTGTGGAACATACGAGTCCTGCTGAACCGATAAACTCCATTTCCAAGGTCGTAGTTTCTAGGACTACCCTTCTTGATAGCCGCAGCAGCGGTCTTCGCTGGCGTCTTTGCCTTAGCATCCGCCATCTGATAAAAATTTAAAAAAATTAATCAACTAATATTTCCTCGCACAGCTGTCTAAAACAAATGTCCCCATAATAATCCGAATAATCCACGTCCAATTATTCATGGATAATGACTCAATGAAGGTTTGAAGTAATATAAGATCATCTGTTCTGTTTATATGTTCAATAACGGAGGAGTCGAGAGTTATAGGCGAATTATAGGTTATGATTGTTGTTAATCCATTCTATTGTTTTCATCGATGAAATGATCACTCTATCACTCTGAATGTGATGGAGAGTGTCCGCAGCACTTGTTCCAGCAATCGAACTTGTTAAAAAAATCACTGATAAATAAAATCAAAGCAGCCAAATGTCATCCAGTCGGTGTGACGACTGCACTCTTTACTCGATGATATTTACCACAGATTTGACGTTTTAGAAAAAAATATTATCACAATTCTTCGGAGAAAACCTTGAATTATCAGTATTTGCGAATTCGTGGGGTGGATTTGTGAAAAATACGTGGATTTATTCGGATTATTTCAGAGTACTTTTCAGGTACATCGCTTACCACGAGTGGAGAAACTAAAAGAGATCTCTAGGCGCAGGGTTGCCAAGTTTACGATCATTTGGCTCTAGTTTTCAGATAATCTGGAAATGATCTAGATGTTATCGACAAAAATGTAAACTACACAAATCTCTTCACCCAATGATCAGAATGTTCTTTCTTCCCGTAAATGAAAAATAATAAAAAATGAAAAATAATAAACAATATCTGAATTTACCTTTCTCAGAATTTTTAAATACTGATTTTTTTTTTCATCCGATGAATAAAAAATTTTATTTGGAAATAATTTTTTTTCTCTTACTACGACTTCGATTTTTTAAAATCAATTGTTTATTTTTTTTTATTCAACCGTTTAGAATAGTTTCCGAGCTTCTTCAGAGCTATTCTTTTACTGTCAACTCTTGTAGATATTTACAGTTTATCTGTTTTCTGGTTGATCATCTCTACTATTGTATTCCACCGCGACATTCAAATTAACAATAACAAAGCATTCGTTTATTATGCAATGGATAAAGTCACATTATATCAACAATTGCGTGATTCGTCAAATTGCATGATTTTTTCCTGTTTTCGAATCACGTAAATTGAATAGTTCAATTTACTAAAGAAATAACCCAAAGAATAATTATGACTAGTTACAAGCTCCATAATATTTCTTGGAATGAAATAAATGGTGAATTTCGTGTAATGAATTAGAAAAAAGGGCATTCACACATTGTGATAAATGATTTGAATGCCAATAATCTAGAATTATCTTTGTTTTTAAGGCTGTTCTCCCTCTCATCAGGTTATGTTCCCCCAATTATTGCCATATCTGCTCACACAGTATCTGATCATGTATGTCAAAGCATGACACTAGGTTATAAATAAAAACTCATCAAACAATCCCCCACAAAAAATGACTCTCTTGAAATACTTGAGCAAACAATTATTATTGCGACGAAGCATTAAAAATGGCATTCAACAGTTCTCAACAAGTGTCCTCACCCAAAATCAAACTGCAAGTCAAACTAAAAACGATGAAGAAAGAACGACTCACTTTGGGTTTGAGACTGTGAAGGAGAGTGAAAAAGGGAAGAAAGGTATTTATGGATTTCTATTCTCTTGAATAAAATAATCCTGAATTATTCTAAAAAATTTGTATCTCCTCGCTATTTGACCTTGTTGAAAATTTATGGCTCTATCAATTTTTCTCACTATATGAATAATTATTTTTCAGCTGTTCATCATCTTTAAGAAAAAAATTTGAATGTAATCCCAACTACAATAACTGATGAGAAAAATTAATTCACAGTTCACACTGTCTTCGAACAAGTTGCCAATTCCTACGACCTGATGAACGACGCGATGAGTCTGGGAATCCACAGGATATGGAAGGACATGTTTATTCAGGAGCTGGCTCCAACCCATGGCAGCAGATTACTGGACATGGCTGGTGGCACTGGAGACATCACATTCAGATACCTGCATTATTTGAACACTCGTAGGAATCCAAAGGGCTTGAAGAGCCACGTCACAGTGTCTGATATCAATCAGAACATGTTGGACGTTGGTAAAAGCAGGGCAGAGGGTCAGGGTTATACTTCAGCGAAGGGGTACGACATCGATTGGGTCCAGGCAGATGCTGAGAAATTACCTTTTAACGATGAATTGTACGCAGCTTATACTATTGCCTTCGGAATTAGGAATTGCACTCGAATTGATAAGGTGAGGTATTTCTCTGGGTGCATGCATCTTGAATTTTTAATTTTTCTTTCATACAGACTCAATAGCTAAACATAAATAATGTAATAAAAAAAAAACGGTATAATAATGAAATGAATAAAATGAATAGGCGAAATTAATACTCATGACGGAAAGCATTATTTATGCTGCTTGTATTATAAAATTCAGATCTTTGAGATGGATTTCTTGTTATGTTTTAGGTTCTCGAAGAGGCTTATAGAGTTCTGCAGCCTGGGGGACGATTTTTGTGTCTGGAGTTCAGTCATTTGACTAATAATACACTCCAATGGTAAATACAAATGGAAGAATTGCTTGAGCAATTTATTTCATTAAGAACAGATATTTGAGATGGCTTTGTTTGAAAATTTTTGGAATCTAGGTGAGGAAAATTTCTTGCGAGAATAGTATAAATTTGAAAAAATGCTCGTGACTATTTTTCTCAGGTTCAGGAATATTCGTGAAGAACTAGTTGTTTCAGTGGTTCGATGCATTGACTCGAGTAGAAATTCGAGATAGGAATTGTCTTGTCGAAATCATAATAAAATTCGCAGAGAAAAGTCGTGCCAATTATTCTTAGGTTCAGATCTACACGTATGAAAAATTTAAAGGAAAAACCTGACACTGGTAATTTGAAAAAACCGAGTAACTAAATAACTGATTCCAGGGCGTACGATCAATACTCCTTCCAAATGATTCCCGTAATGGGAATGATCCTTGCAGGCAAGTGGGAGCCATACCAATATCTAGTAGAAAGTATTCGTCGATTCCCAAAGCAAGAAGACTTCAAAGTGAGTAATTCACCCCAGCTGTCCCCCTAAACCAACCAAAATCCGACTGACAAACCTCTCTTTCAGGGAATGATTGAAGACGCAGGCTTCAGACACGTGACGTACCGCAACCTCACGTTTGGAATCGTGGCGATCCACTCAGGCTTCAAAATCTAACAAAAATCTCAAAATTGACCGAAAATTTTTCAATCCGCGATGCTAAAAATATCGAAGCATCTTTTAGTTTGGTATATTAACCATTTTCAATCATCAAATTTGTCATTGAAATTAAATTTTGCACAGAATTATTATTTTTTCAAGCATTCGTCATTTATAAATAAATAATTGAAATTGTTTAAACTTTCGGAAAGCTTATTTTTTAGGCATTAAATCGAATGCTGATAAATTTCAGAATATAAATAAATTTGTTATGATTCCAAAATAATTTTGTAAATGTCCGTAATTTTCAAAAATTGCAATTTGAAAATTATTTCCTCAATCTTCCTCCGGAAGTAAACTTGATAATTTTTTTTCAGATTTTTAAAATGTTTCAACTGTTTCGGTTCAATGTCGAGATTCAAATTCATACCTGCAAAGTTTAAATAATAAAATCATCGTAAAATCTCCGGAAACTTAGGGTTCAATGGGGCTCAAATAAAAGCTCTGAATAGCCAAAGTACTTGGATATCCGTAAATTAAAATAAACAAACAGAATTTAAGTAAAGGGACAAATAACCATTGATTGTGGTTTCGTTTAGAGACAACTGTATTAGTATTTAGTATTGAGGAATGCAGCTTTAGACAGAGCAGTTTAAATATACACACAGGTTACAGTCCATCCAAAGGTTTCACAAACATTAAATTAATACGGTCCCTCTAATTTAAAAATGATTATTTCAAGGTGTGTCTCAATCCACTGAATCCAAAGCCCTCTTTACCCCCTGAATTTTCATTGCCAATAGCCTACTATTTTCGAAGAGATGTGGACTGTCCTTACCTTCGATGGAAGCAATTTTCTAGAGGTACATTCGTATTCTCCCTTCGAAATTTAATGCCCATTAGTATTTCCAATTTAGTAAATTTCCAAATCCCCCAGTTCCAATAGTAATTTCGTTTAAAAAAATGCAATGAAAAAACTCTCTCGCATTATTGAGACACGCCGTGAGTTTTTTTTTATGGCATCTAGGCCACATTGTTCATTTATTTAATTTTATCATCTTCTTTTTGGGTGCAAAAGACTTTAAAATTGGAGAATGCAACGAGCCTCGAGAGATGTGAAGCTCGGCATATTATAAATTTTTCTAAGTGTTATATATTTTCATTTTTCATCATAAAAATTACAGCTACACCATGTACGGAGATTTGAAATAAGTTTTCGACCATCTAACACCTCAATTGAATGTATAAATGATGAATCTGGTACAGAGAAGATCAATTTTTCTAAACGCAATCGAATTATTCTGCTAGGATTTTCGTCAATTAATGCCGATGATGCAGCTACAGGCAATTAAAACTCTTCGTGTAAAAGTTAAAACTAATAAAAAACGAGGGGAAAATAAACGTTATAATAGTGGACTCATTCAACAGATATTTTCATCTATAGTTCTTTAAATTCGATGGGTCGTTGATAATTATCGTTAAAATTTTTTTTTTCAATTACACATTATAAAATACTAGACTTCTTTTCTACTCCTGTTTGAATATATTCTTCTATCCTTTTTTCACTTTATGATCCAATGATTTCTCAAGCGTTCACATATCAAGTGGAGTGCAAATAATATACATATTTTATAAATCATCTATATAAGGACTTTGAATACTTAGTCTAGATTTTCCTTAGATAATACCGTGGCCTTCTGTAATGCAGTAGTATTTTCACTATTTTTTTTAATTAAAAATTTTCCATTAAAACGTTTTTTATTTTCCACAATGGAATGGGCACAGCTCAGAAATCAAAGTGAACTGGAGTTATGGATTACTTTATTCTCCTTGAATTTTTCGAGATGACGAACGACTTGTATTAAAGATCAACAGAGAATTAATTACTCATCACTCGTAACGAATAAGATGATTTAAGTATGCAACGCCATATCGAGATAAAAAGCTGAGGATTTTCTCATTAAAATTTCCACGTTCACATCCTTTCTTGTGCCAATCACAAATTACAACGACGGTAACGGATATTGATTTAATATTATGCTATAATATTTAATCTTAAACACTATTTACTATTGATATTCGGTTTTTTTGTTATGCAGATAATAGCCAAGTGCATAATAATTGAGTCGATAAATCAAAAAGTAGAAAAGAAAGTAAACAATCGTAAAATAAAGTGAATGCCACATTGAGTCGGTGTAATGAACTTTTTAATATTTGTTACCATTGATCAAACAAAAATTCAATAAAACCGATTTAAAAAAAAAGATAGAGGTGAATAAAAGTACATAGTTGAATCAGAATGATAAATTTTGATTGAGGGACTGTTATTCCAGATAAGTCGATATAATAGCTGTTCATTCCATCAGTATTTTGTTGCTTTATAAATGAAAAAAAAAAATGCAGGTTTGCGTTCATCATTGGCGACTGGTTATTCACACGTGCAATTTCAATTAATTATCCCCTCCATAATGATGACAATCCAGCGAATTTTCACAAATTGTCAGTTGCTGTCGCTTTGTACATAAACTATAATGTAATTTTTCATCGTTTCAAATTTTTTAAATTATGAATTAAAAACCGCCAGCATTGAACCCAACCGTAGATATACCTAATATAAAACAAGAACACAACAAAGTTTTTTTCCTGCATACGTTGTTACATTTGAACATGTACATTTGCATGCTTTTTTCATTTTTTTTTCTTCCAGAGTAAGTCCCCCTACCCTTAGATTTCAGTTATTATTTTTCTACACATCAGTTTATACTCGCTCTCACGAGTAACCATTTAACAACATCAGGATGATACCATCGATATTTAGTCTCTTATTACATTCGTCTTGATGTTAGGACTCTCTTTTTCAAAACAATGAATTATCTGATACATCGGTTAATTTATTTCAAGGAATTGCGAATCTCGAGGTGGAAAGAATGGAGGAAGGGAGGGGGTAGTGGTTTTTTTCCTGTTTTCGTTTTGGGTACAGAGAAATTGTTGATTTTGTGTTTATGCAGCTTATCCACTCTTGAAGAGGAGAATTGCCACCTGACCTAGGTAGAAGTAGATGAAATGTCTTGTTTCGTGCGTCACGTAGCTGCCAAAGTTACGTCCAACGATGCAGTGCCACGTTGGATTGTACTTCTTGTCGAACTCTTTCTTGATATATGCAGCAATATCCTAGAAAAAATTTAATTGAGAGAAATGCAAAACAAATGTTTCGGAAATTTTTTTTTATGCCGAAAGCTGTCGCTGATGGTATTTCCTGCTTGACGGTATTTTTCAATATTTCAAAATCACGAGTTATTTTTTGCATCAGAAACTTTCATTTTTCCGGACTTGACATTCAGGTGAATGTCAAAAAACATAATTTATTCCTTACAAAAAAATCCAGAATCCCCCACATTTGAATGATATTCAAATAAACAAAAGCAAGCCCTTCATAAAACCAAAACTCTAATTTTCCAAAAACATAAAAATAATCAATTCAATCAGAATTATTCCAAGGAAATATTCAATAATCTGGGGATAATTCCAGCTCCTCTTGACAGTCGAAAATTCCCCGCCCAGAATGCCCTTGACATTTTCCCCAGCAATAGCCCTGGCAAAATATCCTGCGGTGTATCACCCTCCCACGGGTTTCTCGATAACGTTGTTTACATTGGAAAAAAAAATTGAATAAAACTTTCCCTCCAGGTCGCCCTCCACCAGCCCATCCTCAATGAAATTACCCTGCAGCAGCTAACATTATTACCTTCTCGATATTGTATTTTTCCAGTGCCTGGGTTGCACAATCGACAGCATCCTGCTGCATCTCCTCCGACATATCAGCATTCTTAATAACAGCTTTACGGTCCGTCATATTGTATGGCCTAAACCGAGCAAAAACAGAAAGTAAAGACCATTATCACATCAATTAATATCTCCCTCGTCACGCATTATCACCCATCAGGTCGAAAAAAAAAACATTTGCAATGAACCTGTCCAAGCTGTCTCGAATAAATCGCAGTCGAGAGTCGAGGGTGAATGTGAAAAATTCCAAGATAAAGGAAATTTAAGATAACCACGATGTAGAATTTACCATTGACACACAAAAAATGACGACCAATGGAGGGAGATAACGAAACAATCCAGCCTTTTCTAATAAACGTAACGGTTGTCATGGCAACATCATCATTCAACTCTCCAATCGAACGAAAATGCCCCGGAATTTAGTGGCCCCCACATAACAAACAATATTACTGAATCTGGAAACACGAAATTCCTAAGAATAGAATCCAAACATTATGTTCACCATTGATTTAACAATTTTCAAGGCCTTGAAATTATTCACATATCGACTGGCAATGGCACAAAATTTTCACATGAATATCAATTCCCGAGAAAGAGAGGTCCCCCCGCCAATACCTGACATTGTAGCACAAATTTTCATTAATAATGTGCCTACAAATGTCCCTCAAGTCAATCGATTCACAAAGTTAAAAAAAAAACCCCACAGGCCCCGTAAATACGGAAGTATCGGTGGGATCGTGAGGCGGATGAAGACGGAAGTCGTGCGGAAGTAAAAAAAATTATAAATACATCGACTCGTGCATAAAAGTCACTGAATGAACCTGATTACTCGCGATATTTTAACAGTGGCGTGGACATCAAATGCCGGCATTACGAGCGACAATTATCCCCCAGTATCAACAAATAACCGAAACGACGGGCTTGTTAATACAGGTGTAATGCAATACTGATGACTGAGTAATTGGCAATAAGTCTTCCTCGAGGCACTGGAATGCGGGCGAAAAAAATAATATCAAAATCCGCGGGGGGACAGGGGACGAGGGGGAGAGGGGCTACGAGAAACGCGGGAGGATGGCTCGTTTTGTCGATAGGTGGAAAAATAAAAATAGAAATTAGATCGCACGCGATCGACAAACTAGGTCGATTAATTGGCCGAGCTGATTGGTTAGTAATTTGAAAAAAATAATTAATCGCCCCCCCTGCGAAGTTTCGGTGAAATTGTGGCAATCCACCCAACGGGTATGTGTATGCCCCCCTCGCACCCCTCGCGCGCCAGTTGTGTGAGTTTTTGACGTACATGGATATAGGTCCCCGGCAAAAGACTCCGGAGGTAAGTGCAAAAAAAAAAGTCGTGATAATGTTGAGGAGATTTTATAACACGTTTTTTCAACTCACCTCTCTTTGGTTATTCACTCGAAGTAATTTAGATTCGTTGGCCCTCGGTATTGTGGTTGTTTCACGATTAATTGGCCTCGAGTATCGGTGATTTGACGATGATAAACTTGGGTTTAACTGGGGAACAAATTTTTCACGTACACGAGCCGACACCGAAAATTTGTCGTATGGACTGAAGATTGAAGCGCCTGGGTATCGTTGAAAAACCACCGTTTGCGGGGCTGTGATTGGCCGGCGGGTAGGGTCTTCTATCAGGGGCTTCTATCGTACCACAATGCAGTGCAGCGGGGTTGGCGGGAGAAAACAAAATCGTTGCGAAAATACGCAGTCTCTTTTGTTTCTTCGGGAGAAGTAAATCCAAGGCGATTTTCATTGTGTCGACATTCGATTCAATGCCCATGAAATGAGTTAAATATAGCCGAATAGATCAGTGACAGAAAACATTACTTAAATTTTTTAAAAGCCAACTTTTTTTTTACTAAAATCGTTAATAGTTTTAATTAGTTCATGGCTACGGATGGCACCTTTTTCGTTGATGTTGGATCCACAAATTTCCGGGGGAATTCCCCCCTCATTGTTCTTATCTCCATTCCTCTTTATTTTATAACACAAAAATGGGACAATTTCGATGGAAAATTGGTGAGATTTCGAGACTAAAAATTCGGGAACTAATTCTTCCCTGGCAGCACTGTACCCCGCCATTTTCTGTACTTCCTCTCCCTTTCCACCGGTTGTTCCGCCATCTTGCATTTATTTCCCACGATAGAGTCGTTGATGGTGCATCGAGCAGCATCGAGGTGGAATTTTTACATCCTGAGAAAACAAAACATTCGACCAAGCTCAACACCCAATTATCCCCCTGAAATAAACTCATTTTATATTTTGAGAGTAACAGAGGCCATTGATAATGTCTCACGGTGGTAGAAATGAGTGCAGAATATACGTTGGTAATTTGCCACCAGATATAAGGACCAAGGATATACAGGACTTGTTCTACAAATTCGGTAAAGTAACGTTCGTGGACCTGAAGAATCGCAGGGGACCACCATTCGCTTTCGTCGAGTTCGACGATCCAAGGTGAGTTATTTCATCATTCTGCAGCGTCATTTGAGGCATTACTATTCCCTTTGATAAGAAGAAGTCGTCTGAAAACATCGACTGACCTCCGGAGGCGGCAGAGGCAAAAAATATTGCCAATTTTTTTTTGCCATTTTATTGCTCTGATAATGAAGGCGATACGCATGCGCCCGGGATTTCTCTCAATTTGTTTTGTTTTTTTTTCTGGTCAGAGTACAGGAGAGTTGAAAATTTTCAGGGTAGAGATGTCCGGGCCGTAACTATTCGTTACTTTTAATCCGCTATTTCCCAAAGCCGAAAGTAACGAGTATCGAGATGCCAAAGTATTGGCTCAGACTACTCGAACAACTGTCAATCAAATTATACGATCTGTTTTCGTTAAGAGCACCTGGTGGGATCAACCGTAGCGCCTTATTTGGGTATTTTAGAAAATATTTGATGGGGCGACGGTATTAATGATAGTACCATTGCAATGGAATATGCAGTGCAACTTTAAATCGTCCAGAAATTGACTTGCTTACCCTACTTTCTGATATTGCAACGACAACATTCAGGAGATAAAAGTAAGGAGATTGGACATGTTCATTTCAGGGACGCTGAGGACGCTGTGCACGCCAGGGACGGCTACGATTACGATGGCTACAGGCTGAGAGTTGAGTTCCCCAGAGGTGGGGGGCCCAGTAATAATTTCAGGGGTGGACGGGGAGCTGGGGACAGTGGACGTGGAGGTCGCGGGGACGTGGGGAACTCGAGGGGGCGAGGACCACCAGCCAGGAGATCCCAGTACAGGGTTGTTGTCACTGGTCTGCCCCCATCGGGCAGCTGGCAGGATCTCAAGGACCACATGAGGGAGGCTGGCGACGTCTGCTTCGCCGATGTTTACAAGGATGGCACTGGGGTGGTGGAATTCCTACGGTATGAGGACATGAAGTATGCAGTGAAGAAACTGGACGACTCGAGATTCAGGTCGCATGAGGTTTGTGGGGATTTTTTATTATTTGGGGGGAATTGGGTAAAATGGAGGAGAGAGAGGCAAATGGAATATTATTTATTATCTTTGTGTATTTATTTATTCATTCGAAATGGGTAGCTGTTCTGAAATAAAATCACATCATCATTCACTCCCAAGACCAGATGTAAGAATCCTGGAATTAAAATTAACCAACATATTTTTCAATTTCCAGGGAGAAGTTGCCTACATAAGAGTCAAAGAGGACCACACAACAGGTGAGCGTGGACGCAGTGAGGATCGTGAGAGAGGTGGTGGACGTAGTCGTTCACGCAGCTACAGTCCACGTCGTCGTGGCTCACCGACCTATTCCCCACTGCGGCGTAACTACTCGCGCTCACGATCACGCTCGAGGTCTCGTTCTTACGACTAAGTGTGTACGTATATACCCATATATGTCTCACATTTGATAACAATAACCGAAACACGTTGATTTGCTTTTGACACGATTTCATGATTTTCTAACTTGAAAAAAAAAAAAAAAAGATAAAAAACTGCTGAAGATGAAGAGATTAAACTTATTGCTTAACTATCCAATCCAAAAATTGTGACAGACTGGCAATTAAGTAACACCAATTTGATATTCCTATCAATGAAATAATCGTTCTATTTCTTTTTCATCGTGATCATTGTACGAATGACTGAAAGAAGAGATGGATATTTTTAAAAGGCAGAATTCGAGTTATTATTTCATCTTTATTATGCCAGAATCAATGTTCCAGTTTTAAAATTCACTGATCGTTCGATTCTGCACATTTTAGTTAAACATTCCGTTCTGACTCTTTTTTTTTCTCTCTTCAATTGCTGGAATAAGAATTATTAGATGAAAAAATGAATGCAAAAAGCTCAATAATCATGAAACTGTCGGTTCGATGACTGCCCAGATCAGAACTCATTACCAATCACGTTTATAATTTTCCAAATGACGAGAATATTATAAAGAAACACAGCACCATTTTTTTCATAGTCTTGAACACGAAACTTAGATGCAAGAGAATAAGAACTGCGACTTGAGTGGCCTTGAAGAAAAGTGTCGTTGAAGAATTTATTTTCACCCTTGTGCTTGACAATTGCGTTATCCATTCTACTTCTCAGACACTTGATTCAAACAGTAGAAGAAAAATAAATTGAATTCCGTAGTCAGAAATGCAAGCTAACAGATTATTTTGTCAAATAAAATGAAGAAAAATGAAAGAATTGTAGACCATAAATATCCTATAAGCGTACAAAATTCAGTCGAAAAGAATTGAATTTTTGTTTTCCTTTTACTGAAAATTCGTTGGCAGTAAAATTTTTTACTAAATTTCCCTGAAATTGTCAAATCAAAAGGAAAACAAAAATAATTCCCTGCAATTATTTTCTGTGATTTTACACAATAAATTTTCTGCTTTATAAAAATTGAAGAAAAATCACAGGAAATTTTCGTAGTAAATAAGTTTATAAATAAAAAATGAAACTATTTAATCCAAAAATGACATGTCTGTAATCAAGAAACTAATGTATTTTTTCTTCTTTTGTATATTGGATTGGATTGTAACACAATGAATGAAAAACTGAACCCCACACGATCGTTGATTCTTCGATGGATAATTGAGAGATGGACCCGCGCGTTTTGGATGGATTATTTTATCGTCGAATAATAATAATTATTAAAAAGGATATTTCATTATCATAAAGTCACGAATAATGGGACAGGATTGCATTAACCAAGAGGAAAGATTTTAAATTGCGGATTAAGGATTTAAAAAAAAATATAGGAAAAAGTATTTTGACGAATGGAATTTCATCGAGACCAAAGCACACATAAGGCCACAATTTATCAGAGGACCCCTGACTGTTCTTATCAATTTGTCACTTTGCATTCGTTCACTACTCTACCCAGTATCCACTGTGGAGAACAATAGTGTATCAGTGAGCAATTAACTGTCAACTTTGTTTAACTGTAATTTTATCGATTGAACATTTGTTTTGAATAATTCGAGGAACAATCGTGATGAATAATTTTCCATGAGAGAAAAAAAAATTTTATCATCAAAGTGTACGTTTAGTGCGCCGTGAATAATGCAAAAGGAGCCTACGAGGAATCAGAGAGCTCCAAGAGGACTTTTAAATCGTTTAAAATCATTCGATATAATCGTTAATAATCGGCCTTGCGTCTCGATGGGATCTGACTGGATGTTTTTAGAGGATTGAACTGAGGAGAGGATTATAAAATTGGGATTTAGAATATCTTCGCGGGATTTTGTTAAATGTGGATTTGTCCTTTGGAGTTATGGAGTATATTTGGAACACAGGATTTGGGATTAATGTTGTAAGAGAAATGGGAATTGTCAATTGTGTGGAACAGAGGCTTCTCGCCTTCTAGGGCTCACGGATCGCTTCGATACTAGGTTGGAGCGATTGGATATTGGAACACTTGGATTATCGTGGTTTAATGGAATATCAGTGGATCGGATGCCTGAGGTATTTGGACACCGATTTCAATTCTCCTTTTTTACATTTTGTTTTTTCTCCATTATTTTTCACAGTGAGGTGACTTGTTCATTTACTCTTGCATGCATTATTTATTTGGCTTAATTAATACCTCTGAACACTTGGCGAGCACTTGGAAGAGATTAATCAATAGATGAATCAGAATAATGAGGAGCACTCGGATGTACTCTGTTTCCCATCAATTGACAAGATTCGTTAACGTGATGACAGTCATTGTTCACTCCCCACCTTGAGTAGTTCCCTGTGTGTACTCGTGTTTTAACATTTTTTTCTCCCATTTTAGTCATTTTGTGCTTATCAACCTTAGATTTTTTTTGTTGAAATCGTTGGGACTATTTCTGTGATCTTTACTTTCTATTTTTAGTTTTTTTTTTGTTGGATTCATCTGTTTTTAACGGAAGTTTGCAGAGAACAGGTAGATTGCTTTGCAGGTCTCTTGGGGCATCACTGGATTATCGCTGTATATTCATTTATTGATTGAATAAATATGGAGATTGAGATAATTTGAGTCTTGGTGTTTTTTATTTATTTATATAGACAGATGTAGGAAAATGACAATATTTTTTACTAGATATTTTTTTAATTCAGGTGAAGTGATTGTTAATTATGAAATTATTTAGTAAACTCATTTTCAAAGATTTTTTTTTACCTCCATTTAAATCATTTTGTACTTATCACCCTTAAATTTGTTTGTTGAAATCGTTGAGATTATTTCTATGATCTTTCTTTCCTATTTTTAGTGTCTTGTAATTATTTTTATTGGATTTGTGTTTTTTAACAGAATTTGAGTCTTGGAGTATTTTATTTATTCAGATGTTGGAAATTGACAATATTTTTTTCATCATGAATAGAGAATAGACTTTTTAATGCGAAGTATCACATGAGGAGAGCCAGGAGATTTCTACCAGGATTCACCCACTGGACGCAGAATAATTTCTTGCACCTGAAACCAATCACCAGATATTTCTGAAATTCAAGTAAAAGTATAGTGATCTTTAATTATGAAATTATTTGATTTTGTACCGAAACATGGGGTGGTGTGGACAAGGCGTAGATTATTGCAGCTGCAATGTCGTCAGGTTTCAATGAAGGCATTGCGTTCAGAATTTCCTGGGAGAATGACGAATATGTTGCCATCAGATCTGTGGCTACAAGACCTGGAGTGATTGACTGTGGAAAAAAGATGAATTGTTATTGCAAAAAAGGTTTTGAAAAATATTTTGCTATCTCCCTTAGATTCCGAGATATTCATTGAAAACTTGTCAATAGTCAAAATTGACTTGTACCATTTTAATCTTTAAATGTTATTGATTGATAGTGAGACGTGATGTTATGAATCAAGATGTTATTAATTATCAAATCATTACTGTAACACGAATTTTTGATCCGACGAGTTCATTTCGTAGAGATTGTGCCAGTGCAGTTATCGCTCGTTTCGAGGCTGGATAAATACTGAATCCGGGGACTGCAGGAACTCTCTCACCAGCGAGACTACTGACGTGAACGATGAGACCCTCGTCCTCAGTTTCCCTCATGATTTTCAGTCCCTCTCGGGTGGCTAAACAAAGCCCCAGTACATTGACATCGAAAACTGTTTTCCAGTCCTCTAAGCGACCTTCTGAAATGATTAATTAATCGTTAGTGCATAATCATTCAATCAAAGCTGCTCGAGCAATTGCTCCCTCAATTAATTTAATTGATTCTGACATTAATGAATGCAGATGGCAAGATTGTCTGGGTTTTTTGAAGGTTTCTTATTGAATATTTTCGAAGATTTACTTTTGACTCTCAAAAATATGCATTTCTCGAAAATAAACTCTTAATTAATTCATTCATTTATTCTTTCATTCCATTTTACCCCATCTTCCCATATTATTTACCACTCAGTGTAGTTTCTATAGTGATTCCGGCATTATTGACGAGCACATCGATCCTTCCCAAGTGTTCCTTCACCCATGCAAAAGCAGAGATCACACTCTCCTCCCGAGAGACATCACACTCGACTGCGTGTAGTTTTTCTGATTGATCTCCTAGGGTCGAAGCCAACTCTTCGATTTTGTCGGCTCTTCTTGCAAGTCCGGCGACAGTTAATCCTGTTGAAAGATTAGCTCCCATGTTATTTTAAGACATTGGCAATTTAAATAAAATACAAAACTCCATCAAAACCCTGAAAATTGGTACACTGTTAACATTTTCAGGAATTTTATAATTAAAAATTGAAGAATCTGTGGAAAAATCAATGAAAACTGTAAAATTAGAAACATTTAGGTAAATATAGTCTTGGATTTCTAATAATTGAACATATGCAGCCTATTTTGGTACTGCTTGCTCATATTTTTATTGATAATTGAAATGAAATACCGAATTCTCGTATTCCTCCTGTTCAACAATTTAGAATTTCATTGAACTTTGAGGAAAATATGGAATTTTATTTTTTTCTAACAGTGTAAAATTACAAAAACCAACTAGAGATCTTCTTCTGTTCACAAAATCATGAATATTTAAAAAATTGCACAGTCAAGCTTAAAGATTACAATTTCTGTTCTCTATAATTTTCAAATGATAAAAATTTCGATTCCTACCATTGCGCACAAGTTCTCTGGCAATAGCCGCGCCAATTCCAGCGCTCGCGCCAGTGACCACGGCGACCTTACCCGACCAACGATTCATCCTGAACTGCCACTGTCATCAATCAAATCCACCGCAATCATCGTGGTTCAAGTAAGCGAACTCAACGTAACTGGATCCCAACACTTATAAGTATTGAAATCGATATTCCAGTAAACATGGAAATTCAAAAAAAAATCGCCAGTAACCGGATAAAGCGGATCAGATCATCACCTGGGTGACCTTAATTCTCATCCAATATATCGGGAGATATTGAATTGATTCGGTAGAACGTATCGATGACATTTTTTCAATCCATATCATTATTCCAGTTTTGAAGGGACAATGCGTAACAACTGATCTAATTCTGCATTTATCTTAATACCGAGTGGTCAATGGAAAATACAGTTTTTTTTAATTGCCAAATTTGTAAATAAGATTTAAAAAATGTAGATAAAATGTGCTGATTTTTTCTTGGATCCTCTCATAACAATTAAAAATTAATGGAGTAAATGATTTACTATTTAGCTTCTCAAATAATTCAAAATCTAGGGAATTTCGTGTTGGATTTGTGATTTCCTCGAAAATCCGGCAATTTTACAATAAAAAATATTACAATACCGTTTCTGTAACTATATAAATCGAAAATAAAAAATATCTCCTCACATTTTCCCCTAATACTACCCAAAATCGCGATGGCCAAATATTTAGATCACATAATTTGCGATTTTACTTGTCCACAAGTCTCTCAAATAATTCGAAATCTAGGGAATTTCTACCTGGACTTGTACTCCTGCCTAGTGACCAGCTGATCTCCATCAAAACAGAGAGAGACCAGGACGTGCTTGTTCATGAATCACAGCCAACAAGTAAAGTAAACAGAAAATTTCGTTCGATCACTGAGAAGAAAAAAGTTGGTGGATCCATCAACAGTGAAATAAAATGAGCCTCTGGCTCATTGTGTGATGTCTTCAATAATACTGGTGTCACTGTGCGTCATTCGCATTGAGATTGTAGACCCAGAGGCAGAAGAGACAGCAAGTACGTTCCAACAATGTCAATAGACCCTGAGTAACAGCAAAATTCAATTTTTCTACTGTTGATTTATGAAATTTTAATCACTTCAGGCACAATGGCAGCTAGGAAAATGCGAGGAAGGCGAGAGCCTCGTGATATCACAGTGGAGAGTTACGCAAGTGTCACTGAGGGTCCAGTTCCTCTGCTGTCGTCCCAGGGATCGAGTAAACCGCACTCAAGGCCAAACTCAGAGGAGTCCTCGTCGTCGTCGAATCAGATTAACACAGCAACTGTCGAGGGATCTCCGCCCAACGCATCATCAACAGAGCAGATCAATTTTATCTCTGGTAATCCCTTTGTGGAAGTCACTAAAGGGATCTTGCATCTTTATAAAGAAGAGTATGTTCATATTTACGTTTAGATTGCTGCAATTGATTCAGTCCAATGTTAGAAAATTACTACTGAAATTTCGAATTAATGAAGTTGATATTTTTAACATTTTTAAAAATTCCAACACTGTAGAACAACTTCGGGATGAATTGGATTTTTGCATGGAATTTTCTTGTTCAATAAAATATAAGGTCCATATTACAATAACAACAATTAATAATTCTCATTTATTAAAAATTCAATTGAATGTAGTATTCAATATTCAGAATAAGTTTGAGAATTCAAGCTTTCATTGAAATCTCCTCAACTATTTTGCATCAAAAACCTCAGTTCTATTGAGTTTCCGATCCATTTCGAATTTAATTCAAACCCCCAATATATTACCCTCAAATTTATAAATTATTAGTCTATTCAAACTATTCAAAAAAATTTCTAACAGTGAACTGAATATTCCTTCCTCCATGACATCCAATTCAACAATCATTAAATCTTCCTCTAGCGAATTAACAGAGAAACATTCAGCCGCCGATCGCAGTCACACGATATGTATCCTCTCAGTCCCAGCAACAATGACCTGTCACGACCTACTGACATTCACAGCAGCTTGCCACCAGGACATCCAGCATTTTCGGATTCTCCGGGACAACAGTCCCAACCAGTACATGGCGCTCATCACAATGCGCTCGTCTGTACGTGAATTTCGTCAAAAATAATCCAGAGGAATGAAGATTGTCATAATGCCAGATGCAAATTAACTTAGAGATCAATTTTTTGGCTCTAGGCTGCGGCGAATGAGTTCTACGATACGTTCAATGGAGCCCCTTATAATTCCCTCGAGCCAGAGGTAGTTTGCCACATGGTTTTTGTCTCGAGGGTCGAGGTAGCGGACAATGGAATGGCCCTCACTGGTCATACAGAACTGCCTTCTTGTCCAGTCTGTTTGGAGAGAATGGACGAGAGTGTTGATGGAATACTCACGATATTATGCAATCACACGTTTCACTCGAGTTGTTTGGTCAAGTGGGGTGATATTTCGTGTCCTGTCTGTCGTTATGCACAAACACCTGAGCCTGTGGCAGACAGCCACTGCATGGAGTGTGGTAATGACACTTTAATCTGTCTAAATCTGTTCTAACTGCTTTCAAATAATCCATTTTTCCTTCATTCTCTACTTTTTTAATGGGATTGGATTGAATTTCTTATCTATTTTGGGGAAAACTCTTTGTCCAATCTAAAAGATGAGTTTTTATTGATTGGCATACGCCAAATTGAGTTGAATGTAACGAAACTGGAATTAATTTATGTAAAAAATATTAATTATTATTTATTGATAAATAGTGAAACTAGAAAATTTTACCTGTAAATGAAATTTTCATTTCCAGATCCATATGACAGGGAAAATTGCGAAAATTCAATTTTATTTTATGTTTATTTATCCAACTGTAATCTTCAGTTGCAGACACAAGCAACGATGCCCTATGGATCTGCCTGATCTGTGGCCACATCGGTTGCTCTCGTTACCATCAGGGTCATGCATTTGAGCACTACCGTGACACACACCACTGCTATGCAATGCAGCTTGAAAACAATCGAGTCTGGGATTACGTCGGTGATAACTTTGTGCATCGTTTGCTCCAGGATAAGGATGGAAAGATGGTCGAGGGGGGCCAGGAGTCCACGAAGGGCGAGGGGGCAGCTGTAGACGAGAAAGTTGATGCTGTGCAACTGGAATTTACGTACTTACTCACTTCTCAGTTGGAGACACAGAGACAGTACTTCGAGGATCGGTTGAATCGCATTGAGCAACGATCCTCTTCAGAAATTGGGGAATTGAGGGAGAAGTTGAATATAATTTCAGATGAAAATTCGCACATTAAGGTACAATTAATTGAAAAAAAATCGGTTACAAAAATTCACTCATTGGAGTTTTAGACTTCAGAGATTCATGAATTTTTAAATTCAATGTGAAAATTAAATTTTCTTAAATTTTCAAGACAAACGATTTGATATTAAATTCAACTCAAATTTACAACATTGAACATTCAATGCAGCTATTACTTGCTTTTAAAGAAAAATTCATGTGAAATACTAAAACTAACGATCTACATAAAAATAAAAATGATTAATAATTAATGAATTTTCATAATTTTCATATATTTGCATTTATTTGCATTTCAGGAGAAAATAGTAGCTCTAACAAAAGAGAAATTAGCTCTCGAAAAACGTTTGCAGACTTCTATAACAAAGCTAAATCAGTGTCAATCTGAATTGTCTGAGGAGAAGGAGTTGAGGCAGGCCCTTCAGTTAAATCAGACCTCCTGGCAAACGAAGCACAAGCAACTGCAGGAGGAGCTGAAAGAATGCAAAAATGCAAAAGACAGGGAGATCCAAGACCTCAAGGAGCAGATACGAGACCTAATGTTCTTCTTGGAGGCACAGAAGCAGATTGAGAATTCAACGGATAAAGACGACATAGCTGGTGGTACAATAATTGTCCCCGAGAGCTCCACGACGACCCCCAAATCCCGTTCACGACGAAATCGAAAGCACTGATTCATTTTTAGAATGTTATTATCAAGCGAAAATGTGAAATACAACTTTACCTCATTCAATGAATAACAAAATTTTTATTTAAACTCAATCAAATGTCTTATTTATTCACCAATTCAACGAAATTAAATAATCTTTCATTCAGTATTATTACATAATATAATAAGCATCATCTTTTATTATTAAAAAATACGACTGATTATGGAGATACCTAAGTTTTGTACATAAATATTAATATTAACTGAGGAACATAAATTTCAATAACGATTTTTCCATTTATCTCAGTTATGAATATTATGAACAGTAATTGTGAGATTTTTTATATTGAGGAAAAATATATTAATTGTGCATTGATTTTTTTGTCAATGAGGTTTGAGGTTTTTACATTAGAAAATATAATGGGGACTCATGGGATTATTCATGGGAATGTGCGCAAGATACTTCGATTATTCAATTTGATTATTATGTTTGTCTGTCTTTAATTGTCTAACTAGCCTTAGAAAATGTATGATTACTTCTCTTTTTGTTTAATTGAGGATATTAATTGTGAGAAAGGCACACCTGTTGACTGAGGATTAGGATATTGATTCTTCATTGATTTTTTGGGGATTTTTTTGAGGATTTGCAATTGAGAGGTTCAGTCTAGCCCATTGGCAGTGGCGTGAGAAGTTTGCTCCTTCATTTTACTTCTCTTTCGAATCTGTCTCTGGTGCTCGTACTCGAAATCCTCTTCACTCAAATTCAGTCTCATGATCTGAAAGAATTTTGAAAATTTTATTAGAAAAATTTGAAAAAAATGTAAGTTAAAGGGTGGAAGAAATTATACTGAATTTGTAATTAATTTCAATAATTACGGGAATTTCCCTGATTTTTGTCAATTTTCATGGAATAATTGAACTGAAATTAACAGTTTCTATAGATTTTTCCATAAAGCTTTGAATTTTTAATTACGAAATTCCTTGAAATTTCAGTAAAGAATTTTTAACAGTGTAATATGGGGAATTAATGGAATGTTTAGATGAATCAGGGATGGAATTCTCACCTGATTAACTAGTGCTTCTTCTTCCATTATCTCTGGTGGAGGGTTTCGTAATACTTGGAGGGTTTCATACATGGTGGGACATTGTTTGGTGAGGGACGAACGTCCCAGTGATCCTTTGAGCAGTACAAGACCAACTTTGAAGATTATCTTCACTCCTTCACACAAGAACATGTCCCAAATCCTCAGGATGCTCTCCCAGGGGAGGGTTCTTGTGTAGACACAGAGGAACCACTCTGTCATGTACAAAATCGGTTCCATCTTCTGTTTTTTCTGTGATTTCAATGATTAACCAAATTAATTTTCGTATAATTGTGGAAATAATTATTACCAAAAAAATATCCTTATGTAAAAAAAAAAAACAATTCCAGTTGTCAATGAGATACAAAAAAAATTAAACTCACCAGATGTTTATAAGCAACTGGTGACACTCTCTTCAACAATGCAAAAAGTATGTCCCCATCCCTCTGAAGTGTCTCCATCCCCTGGCTGTAGTAGCCAACAAGATACTTGTCACAAACAGCCACGAGACACCAGAAAGCCTGGACTGCTGGCATGTGCATCAGCAGAAAAGCAGCAATGGGAGCTTGTGCCTGGCAGTATCCAACTTTACTATTCAGTATTGAGTAAGCCTTGAGCACTTGAAACAATTCCTGCTGGCCAGGTGCATTCTCCACGAACATCTCATGGTGTGGAAACTGCCTGTGCAGATCCTTCTTGATGTCCTCGATGTACTTTGGATCCCCAGGACGCTTCAACAATTCCTCGTACAAATTTGGATTTTCCGTCATCAGTAACTGACCACCACAGAGATTTAGCCAGGCACGAAGCCTCACTGACGGTGGTATCCCTTTTCTACATCTCTCACGTACTTTACGATAATTATTTGTCATAAATGAACTCCAGTTGTTCAGCATACGAATCCATTTTCTCTCTCTTCTCAAAATCACCTCTGGAGATATTGCTTGTTTTCTGAGAGGAAAAATAATCAATTAAAAGACTGATTTGTGGGGCGAAAAAAGTGAAGAGACTAAATTTGATAGGGAACTGGTGGAATGAGATCAGTTAATTTCACTTTAGAAAGAGTTTTGTAGCTCTCACTTTCTGCAGAAAATTTCCTCGTGAATATATCCTCATTTGCCATAGATCAGACGATATTTATAATGTTCATAAAAAAATTCAAAGTATAATGTTCATAAGTAATATTTCCCCTGACCAAAAAATTCGAGGCATTTTTTACGAAATCAAAATAAATATCGAAATTTTCACAAAAATATTTTTTAGCTCTGACTCCTCTCCATAAAAATTTCACTATTGCTCTTCAATTCCGAGATATTTATCAAAACCTGATTCTTCTTCAAGTGAAACCACCATTTCCTCTATTACCATTTTTCCTCTAAATAAAATATTCGAAGGCATAAATGTTGAAAAGAATGAAAACAACATCTATCGAATGGAAACTCATCATCTTCTCACCTCTCAGGACTGTACTGCGCTCCCCCCAGGAAGCCATGCCTATCAGGTACTGTTGATATGACCGATCCACACTGATAAATACTGCTACCCTCTGACTCAGACTCCCCATTCAAATCCTCCTCGTTATTGCGTGACCCCGAGGCCGCCATAGCATCTTCCTACACCACCTGTAGCCCCACATAACAATTAATTCATGGAATTGCCCACAAACAGTCCTTTCACTTATGCAATAAACCATTGTAGGATAATCTCACTCGTGCTAAACCCACAATTTCCCTTTCAACTTTTCATTATTCTCAATGTGAAAATAACTGACAGATAGAATGCGTTTTACTATTATTATCTGAGATCCCCTAAAGGCAAACATTAATTAAAATTCATTGGGACAAAATTGTTAATAAATTGTCTTTAATAATTATCACAGGAAGATCAGACAAAGGGACACTTGATTTATTTTTTCAATATTGATGTTTTAGAAATCAATTTGTCACTTAAAAAAAAAATTTCATTCGGAATTTAAAAAATAATCTCATTGCATTGACAATTCGATGAATCATTAAAATTTAAAAAAAACTCGAAAATGTACACTTGTGCCCCACTCGTCCCTATGCTTAAATTTATAACCGGAAAATAGTTATTTTAAATGAAGTACTACTAAAGTTTTCGTCATTGACATTCAATTAATTTTCCTTATCGTTTTATTTGCTTAGTTGTTCCGTTTTATTATTCATTATCGTTGATATTTTCCTCCCATTTCTGTTTTATTTCTTTACCTATATGGTTTTATGTCGGGGAGAATTGATGGCGCAGTGAGGTCACTAGTTTAACGTCAAACAGAACTCGTCAATTGGGTTAAATTGCTCTTGTGTTTTTTTCTCACCGTCTGGACCTTTTTCATCCATCAGCGATGAAACAAATATCGCAGGGAGGCGTGTGAAATGACCCGGAGCTGATAATTTTGATAGACTTAGAGAGTCTGTGGACACTGATAAATCAATTAATCTGGCAAATGGAGATAAAAATGACGTGCGGCTCGTAAAAACAGATATCGGCCATGCCCAATAGTAAACAACTAGACAAATCTCGTCAGCAGACTTTTTCGACCCAAAAATGTGACATGTTTGTACCTCCATTACCCTCGAGTCATCCCCGGAATGTTAATGAGCAGATGAATGAAGGGAAATTTACCGTTCTTTGGCATCGAATTCTACGGAGGCACCGAAATCACCTTTTGCTGAGTTGAGTAATGCGACACTACACCCACCAACTAAATAGTATCTTTGACAGACGTGTACGAGCACATATCACAGCAAAGTCTGTTTATGACAGCCTGCATCCAGAACTGATGATTTTCGCAGTAAGGATACACGTGGCAGGCTATGGACGATTGCACAATGCTTTCGATTTATTTCCGAGATTCTTTTCGGGGGATTTATTATTAGAATTGACATTTACCCACTACATCAACAAAAAATGATGTTGTGTCGGCCGATGACGGCGAAGGTGGG